GTGGGCCATTTGTTAAGTCTACGGGGACTAAGATAAAAGCATAATGCTGTGCATGCTGGAGATCTGATATAAAAACTGAAAGGGCCGGAGAAACTCGGCAGATCTGGCAGCTTCTGTGGAGAGAGAAGCAGAGTTAACACTTCAAGTCTAATATAAATCTTCTTTCAGTTCTGAAGAAATGTCATACCTTGCTTGAAATGCTGACTCAGTTTCTCTCTCCACGGATGCTGCCAGACCTGCTGAGTTTCTCCAGCACTTTCTTTGTTTGTTAAGTTTCAAGGACCATCTCAGACAGAGTGTTGAATTTTTTTTCCTAAGAATTCTCTTCTCTTTATACAAGTTGCCTGTAGATTGTCATGACGTGGGCTGTTTTCAGCACAGTCAACCCATTGTTCCCATTATTAGCTTTTCTCCTTCCCTAGTTTACTATCCTCCACTGACACCCTCATCCGCTTAGCCGAACTTGTCCTCACCCTCAACAACGTCTCTTTCAATTCCTCCCACTTCCTACAGACAAAGGGGGTGGCCATGGGTACCCGCATGGGCCCAAGCTATGCCTGCCTCTTTGTAGGTTACGTGGAACAATCCCTCTTCCGTAGCTACACTGGCCCTAAACCCCACCTCTTCCTCTGTTACATTGATGACTGTATCGGCGCCGCCTCGTGCTCCCACGAGGAGCTCGAACAGTTCATCCACTTCACCAACACCTTCCACCCCAACCTTAAGTTCACCTGGACCATCTCTAATACGTCTCTCTCCTTCCTGGACCTCCCTGTCTCCATCTCGAGCAACCACCTAGAAACCGATATCCATTTCAAGCCCACCGACTCCCACAGCTACCTAGAATACACCTCCTCCCACCCACCTTCCTGCAAAAATGCCATCCCCTATTCCCAATTCCTTCACCTCCACCGCATCTGCTCCCAGGATGAGGCATTCCACTCCCGGACATCCCAGATGTTCTCGTTTTTCAAGGACCACAACTTCCCCTCCACAGTGGTCGAAAATGCCCTCGACCGTGTCTGTCGCATTTCTCGCAACTCATCCCTCACACCCCCTCCCCGCAATAACAACCAAAAAAGAATCCCCCTCGTCCTCACGTACCACCCCATCAACCTCCGAATCCAACGCATCCTCCAACACTTCTGCCATCTGCAATCTGACCCCACTACCAAAGACATTTTTCCCTCCCCACCCTTATCTGTTTTCTGGAGGGACAACTCTCTCCGTGACTCCCTTGTCTGCTCCACACTCCCCTCCAGCCCCACCACACCCTGCACTTTTCCCTGCAACCGCAGGAAGTGCTACACCTGCCCCCATACCTCCTCCCTCACCCCCATCCCAGGCCCCAAGAAGACTTTCCACGTCAAGCAGATGTTCACCTGCACATCTGCCAATGTGGTATACTGCATCCACTGTACCCATTGTGGCTTTCTCTACATCGGGGAAACCAAGCGGAGTCTCGGGGACCGCTTTGCAAAACACATACGCTCGGTTCGCAATAAACAACTGCACCTCCCAGTCGCGAACCATTTCAACTCCCCCTCCCATTCCTCAGACGACATGTCCATCCTGGGCCTCCTGCAGTGCCACAACGATGCCACCCGAAGCTTGCAGGAACAGCAACTCATATTCCGCTTGGGAATCCTGCAGCCCAATGGTATCAATGTGGATTTCACAAGCTTCAAAATCTCCCCTCCCCCTACCGCATCCCAAAACCAGCCCAGCTCATCCCCGCCTCCCTAACCTGTTCTTCCTCCCACCTATCCCCTCCTCCCACCTCAAGCCGCACCCCCATCGCCTACCTACTAACCTCACCCCGCCCCCTTGACCTATCCCCTCCTTAACTCCCCACCTACACTCACCTTTACTGGCTCCATCCCCGCCTCTTTGACCTGTCTGTTTCCTCTCCACCTATCTTCTCCTCTATCCATCTTCTATCCGCCTCCCCCTGTCTCCCTATTTATTTCAGAACCCCCTTCCCCTCCCCCATTTCTGATGAAGGGTCTAGGCCCGAAACGTCAGCCTTCCTGCTCCTGTGATGCTGCTTGGCCTGCTGTGTTCATCCAGCTCTACACCTTGTTATCAACTATCCCTTTGTCTGCCCAACTTCCTTTCTGTCTCTTCGGTCTCTGTCTCCACCTATGTGCATACTCCTTTTCCCCTTCACCTCCTGTCATCAGCATATATACTACCTTTTCCTAGCTACTATCAGTTTTCTGAAGAAGGGTCACTAGACTCGAAACGTTAACCTGCTTTCTCTCCACAGATGCTGACAGATCTGCTGAGTTTCTCCTGCAATTTCTGTTTTTGTTTCAGCTTTCCAGCATCTGCAGTTCTTTGTTTTATTCTATGCCTATAGATTGTGTTCCTGCCCCTGGCTCATATCATGTATTCTGTAGTCACTGTGCAAAATTTCAACATGTTCCAGTGCTATATTAATCCACTGGGACATTATTGCAATTAGAAGACAAATATATTTATTAATCATTTTATCATTTCTACAAAGCTTTTATCATTTCTACATATTCTCATTATTTCAAAAGGAATTTAAAACAATTTTGTTCATTTAGTGCCTTTCATAAAATCCAAATGTCCTAAAGCACTTTACAGACAATAAGCTTTGTGAAGCCTTATTACTGTTGTAATGTAGGAAATATGATGGCCATTAATGTAATATTGGCCTGATAATCTGTTTGTGTGATGTTGGTTAAGGGAGAAATATTCGCCAGGATAGCAACGACAAGCTCTTTGTTGAAATGGCTTGGTGGTATTTTCTTACATCCCTTTAAGAGAGTCTTATTTTAATGTTTCTTCTGAACGACAGCACTTCTAAAAATTCAACAGCACCTCAATACTGCATCAGGCTCGACTACGCGCTGAGGTCATTTGGTTTTAACCCATTTCTTATTGTCTCAGAGATTGATTGATTGATTTATTGTTATCACATGTACAGTGTGAAATGTTATTTTGTGTGCTTTACAGGCAGATCATACCATATAAAGTATATCAGGGTAGCAAAATGGAGTGCAGAATACAGAGTTACAGCCACAGAGAAGGAGCAGGGATGGAGAGATTAGAATTAAAAACCAAAAGAACTGCAGATGCTATAAATCAGAAACAGAAACTGAAGTTGCTGGAAAAGCTCAGCAGGTCTGGCAGCATCTGTGAAGAGAAATCAGAATTAACGCTTCAGGTCCGGTGATCCTTCCTCTGAGGGTCACTGGACCCGAAATATTGACTTTGGTTTCTCTTCACGGATGCTGCCAGACCTGCTGAGCTTTTCTAGCACCTTCTGAGATTAGAATTAACATGGCCTAAACTGACCCATTGTGTTGTAAGGAAATTTGTAAGTTTTGTAACCAGTAGAAGACATTTTTATTTGATTTATCATTGTCACGTGTACCGAGATACAGTGAAAAATTTTGTTTTGCCTGCAGTACAGGCAGATCATACTATACAAAGTTCATAGGGTGATTAATCAGAGTGAAGAATACAAGTTACGGCTGCAAACAAGATGCACAAAGAACAAGATCAACATTAGATTTGAAATTTGAGAAGTGCATTCAGCAATGCACTGTGGGGAAGAAGCTGTTCTTGAACCTGTTGGTATGTGTTCTTAAGCTTTTGTATCTTTTGCCTTATGGAAGAGGTTGGAAGAGATTATAACTGGGGTTGGAAGGGTCTTTGATGATGTTGGCTGCCTTTCTGAGACAGCAACAAGTGTAGATGGAGTCAATGAATGGAATATGGTCTTTGACTATTAGCACTGTCCCTGTCTTTTTATCCATTTATGGGGTTTGGCTCTCACTGACGGACGGTCTAATTGCCCTTGTGAAGGTGGTGACAATCCACCTTCCTGAACCACTGCAATCATGTGGCAACCTACTTGTTTTTGACTAAGTGGATGCTGAGCTGTTTCAACAGGCAGTGGTTAAGGCACTATATGTGCTGCAGTTTCAATCAGATAAAGATTTCAGTTTTTCTCTAAGAATGTCACGTGTAGCCAGATAGCCAGAGACTTTTTCCCAGGGTGGATATGGCTATCATGAGGGGGCATAATTTTAAGGTGATTGGTGGAAGGTATAGGGGAGATGTCAGAGGCAGGTTCTTTTACACAGAGAGTGGTGGGTGTGTGGAATGCGCTGCTAGCGGTGGTATTGGAGTCAGATACATTAGGGACATTTAAACGACTCTTGGATAGGCACGTGGAGGATAGTAAAATGAAGGGTATGCAGGTTATTTTGATCTTAGAGTAGGATAATAGGTCAGCACAACATCATGGGCCGAAAGGCCTGTACTGTGCTGTACTGTTCTATGTTCTAATGAACCACTTGCATTTTTAACAACAGTTCAATAACTTCAGTTATGTTGATAGATTGGAGAAGCTGCAGTCGTTGTGCTTAGATGAAGAAGAGGTGTCCAAAGCTATGAGATACAAGACAGAGCAGACAGCGAGAAACTCTTCCTATTGGTGGGAGATGCAGAGTTAAAGTGAACAGCAAAAAGCCCCAAAGACAATATGTGGAAAAACTTTTTTTTTCACTGAGAGTGGATTGGTTCTGGAATGCATTGCCTGAGAGTACGGTGACAGCAGATGATTGTGGCATTCAACTAGGAATTGGGTGAGCATGCAAAGAGGTCAAAGTTTGCAGGGGGAAAGGGGTAATGGAGATATGGCAGTTTCATTGGTCCAGCAGAAGGCTCCACAGGGGTGAATACCCTGCTAAAACCATTCTCTGGTGGCCATCACCAATAGTTGCTTTTCAACTCTTGTGAATTCAAACACTCAGACTGAGGTTTAGACTCCAATCTCCCAGGTTGTTAATAAATTCTCCCGGATTACCATTCTAGTGCCCACTGGACCATGGCACTGGTCATACGTTAAGGACATCAGTGCAAGGTACTTTCACCTGCTGATGATTACTTTTCCCAGCCACGCCTGTAAGCAATTACTGCCCTAAGTCAGTGGCTAATGACATGTCTCAATTGTTGTCCAGATCTACGGAAGACCTTTGAACAGGAGCCACTGGGGAAAGAAGTGTTGATCGACCAGGAGGTTCTCCTTCAATGCCGTCCCCCTGAAGGTATCCCATTGGCTGAGGTGAGTTTCTGCAAGATGTGCCTCCAGGTACAAATGCTTCAGTGAGCCACCCTGGCAGAATTTGTTCAGAGGTTAATATGATGCCGTAATGTTAAATAAATAGAACCTAATATGATTAATGAGTTGTAATAAAGTAGTTACTACGTGCTTCTGGCTGAAAAGCTTGATTGGGAAAGATTAATGGATTTGAATCTAGTTAAAACATGCACTGCAGCCAAATTCTTTTGATTTACTGGACTCAAGTGGAGGTATTTGCTAACAGTTCCCTTTCCTGTATGATTCTGATACTCATTGGTTCACTTCAATGGCCTTGACATCCCCTGTTTCCAAAGGCTGGGTTGCACTGATCAATTACAATTGCCTTGTGTGGAGCGTGGAGTTGCCAATTCTATTTGGATACATTCTTGGAGGTTTAATTACGTATGCATTCTGTTGTGTGGCCAACCACCATCAGCATCTCTGTCACAACGCCCCAACTTCCCTGGCCACTGATCACCCAAAACTGTTGTCTTTGCAGTGAGCATTTGGAAAATGAATGAACTTTCCATTACTCAATAGCACTAAAATAACCTGTTATTTTATACACCCCACTGTTGCTTTAAGGCAAACAAAAAATTTCAACACACTTCCTAACTCTTTCTCGGGTGATCTTTTTATTCCTCGAGGCTACAGGGTGACCCTGGAGGTTTGGCACTCCAAATGGAATGCAACTTAATTGTGGTTCTGCATCACAGAATATTACATTCAAATTCACACTCCAAATACATGGGGACAGGGCAGATCTGCCCCTCAAAGATGTGAAATCACCTTGGAACATTCACTCACTGGGTGATCAATCAGGAAATAATCTCACCCCCCTACCCCATACCATATCATAGGATTCTATGATTCTATGATTTATACTGGGGCCCATCAAAATCTGCAAAGAGCTTTTCACCAAGATCAGAGGTGCACCCTCTTTCATGCTGGCTGCTGATGGGTTGAGAAAGCTTCTGAGGCCAGAGCAGGGCTGAGATAAGACAGATTGGAGGGAGCAACCAGGCAAAGCAGGATCTCAAAGCTCTCCACCAGATCCCAGCCTTTCCTCTTCGTCCCACAAGCCTGACATGTCTATCACCAGACCTCAAAGATTCAGACCCATCACAAAGACTTCTGGCATTTCAATGCCATTGTAATTCTTCCCTGTCCATTATCTGTCATATGTATCGATTAATGAACCTCCGGAATCCAATGCAACTCTGTTTTTCCTCAATTGCCAACAGTAGGAATGCCCAGCCTTTAGTTGGATCAGCCGTGATTTTATTGAATGTTGGAAGAGACATGAGGGGCCAAATGGTTTACTTCCTTTCCTTGCTTGTATGTTCTTAGCTTTCCATTCGAAAATTGATGCTGAGTGTTGAGTGTTTGACCAGACATTTTACAGGAATGGGGTTGAGTCCAGTAACTCAGAGAAAAGCTCTGACAGTGCTCGGCAAACCTGTTCATACGCGCCAATGTCTATACCTTATCCTTTGAGCATAACGTTTTGATAAAAAGTCTGAAGGATAACTTATGCCATTTTTAAAAAAAAAAAGATTCTTGAGTGTTGCTGGCTAGCCCAGCACGTACCTATTCCTAATGGCTCCTTGCGAAGGTGGTAATAAACTGCTTTCTTCAACCACTGCAAAGTGGGAGGCAGTGGCATGGTGGTAATGTCACTGGAGTAACACTCCAGAGCCTCAGACCAATATTCTGGGAGCATAGGTTCAAATCCCACCACAGAAAGTGGTGGAATTTGAATTCAATAAAATCTGGAGTAAAGCAAGCTGGCTCCTGGTGACCATATAAGCAATGTCAATTGTTGGGGGGAGAAAAAAACCCACCTGGTTCACTTATGTTGTTTTTTGGGAAGGAAATCTGCCATCCTTACCTGGCCTGGCTTACATGTAACTCCAGACCCACAGCAATGGGATTAATTCTTAACTGCCCTCTGGGATGGGCAATATGAAACCAACATCCTATGATTGAGATAACAAGATGTAGAGCTGGATGAACACAGCAGGCCAGGCAGCATCAGAGGAGCAGGAAAGCTGACGTTTCGGGTCTGGACCCTTCTTCAGAAAAATCCTATGATTGAGTTTTTTAAAGAAAACGTCCATGTGGTGGAGGTACACCTACAATGCTGCTGGGAAGGGAGGCTCAGTCAGGAACAGCGATAAAGTTCTGAGTCACGGGTTATATAACATGGAAGGGAACTTGGAGGTGACAGTGTTCATATGCGCCTACTGCCTGTGTCTTCTCAGAGTTCATGCGTTTAGCAGGAGGCTAATCCTTGCTTGATAACAGGTATAGGACTAGACTGGACATGTAGGAATGGGCAACAGAAAGGAGCTTTTACTTAACACTTGACATTCTCTTTCGCATTAGTTACTTCCTTATGTTGTTTTATGACTCACACTTGTCATTTGATTATAATACAGTCTTGATTGATTTTGTGGGTCCTTGTGCCTTTGTAAACTCTAGCCTCAACTATTCCAGTACATGTGACTTTCTACACTCCATAAACTGAAAGCTCTCCAAAAGCTCTTCTGCCCGTGTCCAACTCATACCAAGTCCATCTATCCATTCCTCTTGTTTGTGATTCTCTGTCCACCAACATTTTGAATTTAAAATACTCATCCTTATTTTCAAATCTCCGCACGGCCTTACCCCTCCCTGTCTCTGTAGTCTCCTCCAATCCATCTAGAGATATCTGCATTCTCTTTCATTCTAACCTCGATCATCTTCTGATTTTAATCTCTCCATTACTGGCAGCAATACCTTCTACTGCTTGGCTCCCAAACTCCAAAATTTCTTCTAAATCTTCCCACCTCTCTATCATCCTTAAAAGTCTGCCTCTTGAACTGAGTTTGGGAGCCTTTTTACTTAATTCCGCCTTCTTTAGCTCAGCATCATAGATTGTTTTACAGTGCTCTTTGGGAAATCTAATTGTGTGAAAGGTAATATAAGTTGTTGTTGGCAAGATACTCCAAGGCATAGGGTAGTTGATACTCAGCTATGTGTTACAAAAAGGTGTTTGTAACATTGAGATAAAACGTAGTTTTTAGCTGTTAACTGTGTTAAGGTCATGAATTTCTTCCAAACTAACGTGAAGGCTCAGACTAGTTAATTATTAAAAACTATTTGCACCTTAACCTCCGACAAGCTTTCCCTTTCTCCAAAGCAGATCTGCATATTACTTAAATATTGAAGAGCATTATCTTTTCTCCATTGAATAAATAAACAATGTTTGTTCATCACCCAGGTGTTCCCACTTAAGCGATGCAGCACGATGCCAAGGTTAAATTATTAATTACTTCTAATGCCACTTTTCCTTCATATTCAAATTGGAGACACTGGTGTACAGCGTTCTTCAGTGATTCTGAATTGGAACGTATCTGGGGAATGTTTACGTCTAACCTTTGAAGATAATCTGGGGATTTACTACAAAGTGCTGGCTGCCGCCATCTCGTACAACAACACATCCGTTCTGTGTACTGGAGGAGCAAAAAAACCAGGAAGAGCATTCCTCTAGCAGCCCAGTTTTATACAGGGAGAAACTGCATACCAAATCTTTGTAAGCACAGGCAGACAACCCATCTGCACACGGTCCCTGCTCTGTTTCTTTTGAGAGCGAGCTGAATCAAATGCCCCTGAGAAGCCATTCCCCCTCATCTCAGTCTTAAACTGGCAGCCCTTTTATTTTGAGATAGTGCCCGGCCCCGGGTAGGGAAACATCCTCTCAGTCTGTTGGTGGGAAGGTTGGGGGGGTGGGGGTGGGGTTGCGCTGATGGTGGAGATGTGAGGATGTCAGGGAGGCGAGAGACGGGAACTCCCGACATCAGGAGTGCCCAGTCTCTCTGTGACCCATTCAGTCTACGCTCTGAATCTCTCTGTGTTGCCTGAATAGCAATCACAGACTCCGCCTCATGGTCAGGGTTGGAATTGTGATCAGACAGCCCAAATCATAGTGTCATACGGCACGGAAACAGACCCTTCGGTCCAACCAGTCCATGCCGAGCATAATCCCAAACTAAACTAGTCCTACCTGCCTGCTCCTGGAGCATATCCTTCCAAACCTTATCCATTCATGCACTCATCCAAATGTCTTTTAAACGTTGTAATTGTATTTACATCCAAAACTTCCTCAGGAAGTTCATTCCACACACAAACCACCCTCTGCGTAAAAAATTTGCTCCTCATGGCTTTTTTAAAATCTCCCTCCTCTCACCTTAAGTATGAGTCCCCCTAGTCTTGAAATCCCCCATCCTAGGGAAAAGCCACCTACAATTAACCCATATCTGTACCCCTCATGATTTAAAAATTGTTCCAAAACAAAAAGAACGGCAGAGATGCTGAAAAACAGAAGTACAAACAGGACTCACTGGAAAAGCTCAGCAGGTCTGGCAGCATCTGTGGAGTGAAAGCAGAGTTAAGGTTTTGGGTCCAGCGACCCTTCCTCAGAACTTCTCGATGTTGCCTGATTATAAATGAGGTCACTGGATGTATCTGAGCTGCTTCTGGTCAATGAGCTGAACTGTTTCCAAACTTGCTCCAGGATTGGCAAGGAGTTCCAGCATTAAAAATCTGCCAGGGTCCCACACAGCCCCTGTACCCAACCCTCCAGCAGATGGATTTTGTAAGCTAATTTTTGGCTTTTCAACTGAAGAATCTTTATTCCCCACAGTCAACAGAAAAACAAAGGCATGAACCATTTGGTATAAATGTGCAGCAAAATAGATTCTCTGAAAGCCAAAACAATTATTTCCAAAACACAACCACCCCCATTTTACCCCGAGAAGAATATTAACCTGACCGCACCAAACAAAAACAGACCAATCATCATCAGAATAAAGCAGCAATAAATCACCCTGATAATATTCCTTGTATAATTATTAAAGTTTGCACATTAAAGAGCCTTATATAAATAGGAGTGCTGGTGTAGGGTGCAAACTTGGAGGAGGAGGAACTTAAGACCCATG